AACACTCATACTGCCAATGCATCATACACTCACACTGTCAATGCATCATAACACTAATACTGTCAATGCATCATAACACTCATACTGTCAATGCATCATAACACTTATACTGTCAATGCATCATAACACTCATACTGTCAATTCATCACAACACTCATACTGTCAATGCATCATGCACTCACACTGTCAATGCATCATAACACTCATATTGTCAATACATCATAACACTCATACTGTCAATGCATCATAACACTCATACTGTCAATGCATCATAACACTCATACTGTCAGTGCATCATAACACCCATTCTGTCACATCCGTGACAATATTTGGCTTTGATGTTTTGTGCTATAAACTGTATATATTTACCATCGACTTTAACAGTATTGTCCTTAAGTATTATTTTATCCCCGATATTTACTATTATTAATCTAATACAATCACCATATTTGTATATATCAGTGTTATATTATATACTTACATGGTCTTCAAAGTCCTTTGGGTGTGTGTACTGATATCCCCACGGATTCAAGTGTAACTGTGAATAGCTATGGATATCATTGAAGTAGACAAAACGTGTTTTCGTTGTCTTCGTAAAGAAATTAACTATGTTCCTCACTTCTATTTCTGAATGAATATACGGCCCTGTGTATATAAGGCTGCATGGGTCGCTACTTGTACCAGGACCTGTATGTCATATGTGATACAAAACGTTACACGTCGTGTATTCAGTGATTATGTGGTCAATGAGCGTCAGAGATATGTGTTAAATGTTACGATTATGTCGCTAAGTAGCTGAATGTGTCACCGTTATTATGGAATATATTTAATCAAAATAAACTATTTATCCTTTATAGAATGCATAGTTATACTAGTGCTCTATTATAAATTAAATTACTTAACGCAGAGATTGAATCTGACAACCCGTATTATTATGGTGACTAAATTTGCATATATTTTAAACCGCTTCAGTGGTCGCACGGTGTCGTGTTCGATACGAGACGTTTTAAATAATCAACACATCACAAAGTCAAAGTCAAGTGTGAAATAATTTTAGAACGTCATTAGTTGTTTACTAATCACTTGTATTATACTGGTCGTCACAACATTGGTCACAGACCATTCAACTATTCTAACATCAAAATTATGTCTCAGCCAGCACTCATCACATTTCTTCACTTTTTTCAGAGATTTTTGATGTTATATCTATGTAGGTATCCGGTTTAATTTCCCCATAGTTCTCATAGTAATTTGTATCTTAATTAAAGAATGCGTTTACTTAGTGGTCACGTGACCATTTGAGGTTTACGTAACATCGATTTTTAAATGTGAATCACGTGTTTTCATAAAACAATTCATCCATGGAAATAATTAGCTTGGCTTTTACTTCCTGAAAACCATTCCTACATCCATAAATTGGTATTTTAACCACGTAACATTAAAATGACGCGAATTTATTAGTTTCAGTGAGTGATGTCCAAAATAGGTAGCACAGTTTTCGGTGCTTTTGCTGCAGTTTAAATTATTGTTCTATATAGAACCATTAATGAAAGAATACACTTCGATACAAACGTTGTAATCCTTTTACGTTACTAGTGACGTACGAGTATATTATTTTTCCTACTTAAGGGTCATTTATGGAAATAACTTCAGATGGTATATAGCTCGGACGTGAGATTGATAAAAGAAGTCACTTTCTTGTAGGTTTTAAACATACTATGTATTGCGTATTCAGAGTGCCTCAAGTAAAAAAATTGTTTTGTTTTTTTGACAAATAGCGGCAGCACTTTCCTTTAGAAATTAAATTGCACAGATAAAGTGAAATAGTTTATTTTTATATACGCACATTTCATTTCATTTATCATTTCGATTAGTTCCACTCAAAGAATAATATAGGTTTTTTTCCTATTAAAAAACTTAGTTACATAACTTGAAATGACTGTGTAGTATAATGTAATGTAATGTAATGTAATGTAATGTAATGTAATGTAATGTAATGTAGTGTAGTGTAGTGTAGTGTAGTGTAGTGTCGTGTAGACGTCATTTTTTTTGTTCATATTTATTGTTTTGTCAGTCGTTGTCAGTCATATGTGTTCTGTTCTTGTACTTTTGTTTATAACTCGTCCAAGATTCCATTCATATCATGTCGTGGTATTGATGTATAACCTGTTCTCGTTGCATACCTCCAAATCCATACGCCCAATTTCTGTTGGGGTCGGTTCCAACGCAGTCCGAACCCAAATTGGGTGATCTGGTCTTCCTCCATAATCTATACTGTAAAAATATTTGAAAAAAAAACGCAATATCTGTTTTAATTGAGACGTATTCTTTTACACCGAAACAATTTCAGGCCTTTGCGGAAGGTAAACCAGTATATTACGGTGTTGTCGGCGGCATCTGGCTTAATATATCACAATAATATTTATTGCTGGGAAGAATCACGGTGCGTTTATTACACTAAGCTTTTAAACCTTCAAAACTCTTCAAATAGTGACAAATTGTTCTGTTGTTCGTCCAATCTATGTCTGTCTCGGTTTTGTGACAGGTATTAACGCAGCACGAACGCGGATGTTGCCCGTGGTAAACACAGGCGTTAGAAGTGGGGCTAGTAGATCATTACTGAGCTGCCGTCGTTTAATGGGTATGTGAATCACGCGTATATCTATTAAATTACAGTCACGTGACTAGCTAACCGAAGAACGTCGTGCATCGCACTCAGATTACGGATGATGCAGAATTATTTAAGTGTCTGCGTGTTGGGAGGGGGGCTTGTAATGACGTCAGTCCCGTATTGTATTATTGGACATGGGATGTGTTTTCAGCGTGATATTCCTACCTCGTCCCATGTATATTCGTAGCCGTCAGGATTCACCGAGGGTAAGACATAGATGTCATATTTGTTGAGAATAGATGTTGTATCGTTTGCACTTCCATCTTTAAACTCTTCTAAAAACTGCAATGAAACGTAACAAATTAGACATGCCCGTAAACTCACAATTGAAAGGAAAGAACGTTGAGGGCGATGTATGTTGTTACGACCAGTTGCCAGGAAAACAACTTCAGGTTATCGCAAACTACTATTAAAGTAAACCTACTGCGTTTGCCATCCAAATGTTAGTGGCAGGTGCTATCCACTCCCGTGCATGGATACCACTTTGTAACCATATTCCTTCTTTGTCCTCGGACGTCTTGTTACCGATCTTGAATAAATATTTTCCGGAGACAAAAAAATAGGTTATTTCATATACATGTAGACTAAAGGGAAAAGGGTACAGTAAATCAGCTGTGGTGGCGCACTGCTTATTGCAGAAAACCTATCAAATACTAGTACTAATCAACGTATTAAAAATGATCAACTATATTTATATATCTCATTCATGATTTGACAATAACATCAACATATATATCCCATTGCTGTATGTTCGAGGTATACTCCTGTTACGGATAGTTCATATCTAAAAATCGTTCATCCATTATGGATAATGGACGGTGCTATCATTGTGCCCTTGGGGTGGAATTACCATTAGTCGACCATATCACATTACAGAGAGCGCGATATCTAATATATTCCCTGGGTTCATCAAACCATGCGTGTTTTCACTCAGTCAGATATGGCGTAACATGTTTTACCTTAAGCACTCTGATTACTCTGTTCTCATATGATCTGCCGATAACGAACTCCTCTGTCAAATCGGGGTATTTGCCTACGGTGTCCTTGATCCACTGGTCTAGCTGCGAGTGTGAGAATGTCATTACAAAATCATTACTATATATTTGGCGCTTATTTTTATTTTCAAACATCGCTGAGAGTCAAAATCGCAATTCCTTAACAAAGATAGTACTTGAAAAATCACCTTTTTGTAACGAGCATTGTTTTGACTGTAAAATACACATTGCGTAAAACGTATTAATACAATGCAAAGAGCAACGAGATCCATTACACGCAACATCTCTAGAGTTGAACGCGACCTACATGTGGCGGTGTATGTTCAATATTCGTGTTTGTATCTCATTGATATTCACATATGTGTAGAATTATTTATCCAGGTCGTTATGAATTATTCATTGTCGAATAAAAACAGACCGCCACATTTACCTCCGAGTATCGATGGTACACCGAGTAATCAAACTCGTGCACCGCAGGTTCTTCTGCCAGTCGAGCGTATCTATCGTGGTCCTTTCGCCTTCTGAACTGTCCATCTACCAGTGCTTGTACATCATTGATCCACATGTCATAGGTTATTTTATTCTCATTCAATGTCCGGTCAAACTCTTCGATTTCACTCACGTGTACCATGACGTCACGTGGGAAGTCCCAGAAGTCGTACTGGTGAGAAACAAGCTTAGAGTGCATCATGTACTATATGAACAACACCTCAAGAAATCAATCATTAACCCACAAAGCTAAATGTTTATTATTACGTTCATTCTCCAGATGTAATTATGTTTTGAAAACCTCCGTTTATTAATATATATATATATCGAAATGGGAAGCGGGTGTGTAAACAGAGAGCCATCTTTGTTTATGTATGTTACAAAAACACATCCATCTTTGTTGCCACGTCAAATCACACTACCTACTCTGTGTCAATAGAAATAATATTCGAGCAAATACAACGATGCTTCATTTTAGGCGTCATTTTCAAAATGCTTACATATATTTTGGCAGATAAAAAAATATTGACCAATAAAAGAATATTGACCATTAACAACAATGACCAGTTTATTGGCTAATGTATAGTTTTAAAAATGGTAGAATCTATGAAGTAAAAAAATAAAACATCAGTAAAACGTAAATAAGTTTGTTTACGTGAACAACAACCGTTTAAAAGGATTGAATTGGTGAACACAACTTTGCTGACATTATAGTACATAACAATCGTACGTTTTACTCTATTTGCTGTGTATATGCGACGATGAGGGCGTCATTTAACATGTTAAAGGTACTAGAAAAGGTTGGAAAATATGGTCGATTCAACCACACCGGTAATATTAGAAAAACTGGTCCAGCAAATCTCTTGCTTTTTTACAAGATAGAAGGAATTATATATGTCTATATGACAATGTTCTTTCCTAATTTTATGGTTGAGCGATAGATCAATTTATCTTACAGTGAAATGAAGAAAATAAACAGTGTAATGTTGTCAACATGCGGCGAATGTTCAACATTAAAAGAACGACATAAATTATTAAAGACAAACAACTAAACTGATTGGCTGACATGACGGAATGCATTCATTTGTCTTACCTTACCGGACTCCATAAGTTGGTTCATAACTTTTCGATCATTATCTGATTGAACTTTGACCCGCAATACTTGGTAACTAGGGAGAGACAATGGCATTGCGATGATTTATTGTTGTGCATACACACAATCTGGTAGTTTAGGAATGCTATGGATATATCAATATAATGTAGAATGTAATGGAATGTGAGACGGCTCATGGAAATCATATCTGATTCATAACTTTTATCAATAACAAATAGATAAACAGGTGTATTGTGATATTTTAGCAATGGTAGTCATTCCTACAGTACAAGACAACAGTTCAGAAGTAAATGTTCTCATTTCACCTCTACGATATGGTTTTATCGCCACCTTACAGTTAAATTGCTCACACTAAAACCATTTTAGTGTCAAGCATAGTAAACCGTTCACACATTTCCGCGACAACTTTCGATTTGAAAATATTTATCCGAAAGCGAAATATGTTTTCAATGAGTCACATAATGTATATTCGCAACTAAATTCATTAGTACTACGAAAAATTATGGAGGTAAACATCTCATAGCCTGAACATTTTATTACGATTCGTGATATAATACACGCCACGCAGCTCATTTCAGGTGCGCATGCCTAATCACAGCTTGGTTGTTGAAAACTGGGACCAAATAACGCAACGAACTCGCACACCAAGGTTTCATATCGTATATAGTATCGTTCAACATTTGATTGACCATAAATGTTCAAGATTAATTCCAAGTGTATTTTTCACACACACCGAATATTACATTTGACACCACTATGTCCAAATGTTCATACCTGACACTACTTACCCGTCAACACGTTGGTAAGCCTTGATAAAGTTGAAACACAGACAAACTACAAACAATACGAGAATTTCATGGAACAAACGCATCATACCACAGTGATTTTACAGGCACAGTATTGTTGAATTGATTCTTGTCGTTGTTCTCGGCGGGACAACGCATGGACAGCGAAGGCTGAATCTACAGCGATTGTTCTTTACAGTGGCCTGGGGTACAGCAATAAATCAAAAGTTTGACAAACTCAATAAAACAAATATAGCATGTGACTCGGTTTTCTGACAGCAATACTCGATCTGAATGGGACGATTACCATGGTGACTCTGTATATTTAAATCGGGCACAGGAAGCGTTTGTATGAATATGGCAGTTACATGTCAAAAATATTATAGATAAATAGAGGAAATCCATGGAACTATCAAGTGACATACTGGAAGTCATTGTATAACGACATTATACTTGTGAAACTAGAATAGGTATTAATAAAAGCATTGATTTCGGTAGATACGAACCTCCACACCATCGGATAGCCTCAGTTAAAGATATAATTCGGCGTAATGAGCATACCAAAGCTAAAAATGCAGGCTGGATATTTAGTTACATAAATTAAAACATGCAATGTACGAACGAATTAAACAAGCACAACGAGTTCTGACTTGTTACAACGAAAATACAAATCCGTAGTATTTATTTAATATTTACAATAGCACTATTCACACTTTTATATTTTTTTAAATACACTATTTGAGGAAAATAAGCCACTTGCTAACTTAATTATTTTAAATAATCAGTAACGTATTAAGCTCAATGTAAATTTCATGCATGGAAATATATATAATGTGGAGCACAATTATTATTATCCTCCATAGCAGAGCGTTACGACGACTATCATTCCGTGTCATTACTTTGTAAAGCTCTTCACATTTGAATGTCACTTGATACGTCGAGATATAAAAAAAATGTAGTAAAATAGTTTACGAGAATTAAATGGGAGAAATTCTCTAATTCCAGCTTGGAATACAAACAAGATTATTATTGATTGTGACAACCAAGAGCTGTATTGATAAAAATGTGATCAATTGATACATCAGCCACGGAAACATGTATGTTACTTCAATCCGCTCTTCTGATCATTAGTAATCGGAATTGATCACAATCTACAATTATAAATCTTTTTCTCTTTGTTTTATGTTCAATACAAACAAACGTGCTTTATTCTGAAGAGGACGGTAATAAAAAAAGGTCTTGCATCCCTGTAAGAATGGGTACTTTATTACTGATGTTTTGAGTTGTATTAGCGCAGGTCGTTTCTCTACTAGTATTTTATTTTTAACGTAAATCGTAACTTTTTAAAGCAACACTATGTCATCTTCTTATATAACCGTCGATTTGTAAGACTACACATGACATCTGACTAGTGATCCTGGCCATGAACAGTTTCCGTCCACTTTCAACTTTCGTTTGTAATTTTTGCATGGAGTAATGTATACACATAGAGCCTGTGGTATACGTGTCTGGATCATGGAGGTATATAAGCAATATATATAAGCAATATAGTATTTGATTTTTGATTGGAGGAAAAGGCGCGGCTTCTGTCGATGTTGAGCTCGTGAGCCAATCATATGTGTTACCCATCCAGTTACAAATTGTTTATAATGCAACATAATGACATGAAAGTTGTACCCCTGGTCAAATGTTTTTATATATTTGTAATTATATTTTGTATGTTAATGAAGATGTTGGTTATGCTTGCTTACATATTGTGACGACTAAGTGGAAGACCAGGACGATATTCGACCAATTTATCACATTGGATTGTACAAACGTAAATAATCCATGTCTAATAGACAAAGGGGCAAATTCACCCAAAAAGCCCAACAATAAAACTATAAACTTCAGGTTGACAGAAAGATAAGGAAATAATTGTAATTCACATAATATTTATACTAATTTTTGTGTTTTGGGCCATTTAGAAAAAAAAATTGTTATGAAAAAATATGTACTGAAATTAGTGACAGCAGAGACTAGTATGCCGCAGATTATACATTTCACTCTTTGTGTGTTGAAGCAATCACTTCTGAGTGTGTTTCTGTAAGCATACGTCAATGAATAGATTCCTAAGCTGATACATAATTATACAGATGTGTGTTTAGATTGTACAGATATGATATTTTAGGGATTATTTCCTGCCCACTGGCGTGTCTCGTGTATGTACAGATACCTCTGTTAGTAACAAAATAATTGTCATGGTCTGTATTGTATTGTATTATATTTATTTGGATTGAACATTCGAAAAACGTCGTCATTTTATTACACTAATACCAATAAATGAGTGAATTATAAATCGTTTTCTATTGGTCCAGATCTATGTCAGACATCGGTCACACGCGAGACAAAATACGTGAAATTGTTTGAATCTTCCCGCTTAATATCTTAAAATTGTGGTTCGTTGATTGAAGATGTTATTTAGAGAGTGCAGATATAGTACTTTTCTTAATTAGCATATTTGACGCAGGATAATCACCGAGCGTAACCGGGATGGCTATCTGATCCAAATATACTTAGATATGCTAATCTACGAGGCACACCTCAGATGGAACCGACGGAACACTATTTCAGCAGATACTCGAAATAAAAAAGTATAATATAATGATTTTTGCTCAGATTCCGTAAATCATGCAATTTTATTGAACAAATTACAATAATATTAATACTTTAGACAATAATAACTTGTATTATTTCTTGTTCGTAAAATTATATATTGAAATATATATATGTACTGGCTTTCTATAGTAATAATTATTTACATCAATTATTATCGATTTTAATTTTTTAACATTTCTGGCAAATTGTTTTTGTTCATAATCTATTGTTAGTTTAATGAATCGTTTATTTAATAAAGTGCCTTATGGGAGTATGGGAGTTCAAAGGTTATTGTGAGTTCATTATGATGCCTTACGCAAACATTACTTCGTAAGTTTCTTGCACTTTGCTCGAATCTGGTCTTCGAGTAAGAGGAAGCTGCATTTGCCCGTGTCTCTTAGCTCCATAGTGCACGAGTAATCGCCGCCAGCTGCTCTAAATTAACACAGCCAACACTACTTCCGGATACAACGCCTAACACGAAAAGACATAATGTGAGTAATGGTTAAATATATACTTGTATTACCGTAACGGAACATCGTTACATACTTATGTAATAACCAGTCATTGTCCCATATTAGTAAGTCGTGCTGTGAACAGTCGCCAATGCTTTTACGAACGCTTAACCAATTTTATTCTGAGATGAAGTGATATTTATATATCAATATATGATACTCAACATATTATATACTAAGGGACTGGACCACAATTTCTGAGGGGAAGAACCAGTATTTGGGGGGGGGGGTCCGCAATGTAGATGCAAGAAAAATAGTCAATTATCTACGCAGCCTTATAGAAGTTTACCGGCGAAACTTAGTAATTGGGAAGATTTCTGGTGTAATGTTTTGGGTATTCTCGAGATGAAAATAGGTTCCCACGATTTTAGTAAGACTAAATCAAATCATTTTGAAAAGGTTGACCAATACATCAAAGGTCATATACGCCGACCATTAATGTATTTAATGGCATTATTCCCCTTGTGATGAGGTAAAAGGGTTATAATATAAGAACTGGACATAGAATTTTATGGTGATTGACATTTATGAGTGTCGGAAGGTCCAATGTCATGAAACCATGATTTATTCGATTATTACGCGATTTCCGATCCCGGATCCTCATTGAAGCAACTTGGATGAGCCAACCATAACGCACAGAACACGAGATCTCAGATTGTACGAGACTGTCAGCAATAGATAAATTTGTGAATCAGTTGGAACTGAGATAAGTGCACACCAGCACAATCATAGAATGAGAATTCATCAAGAGCTTTCAGATCGTTTATATGTTGTTATATAACCAAAGTGAGTTTTGTCTCTATGGTAACAGACTATGAGTCAGAAATTCGCCTGTCCATCACAACTTCTGTGAGGCAATTGTGAACAATTCTCACCCGTGTTAAGAACTGTTATTCAACATTCATAAAGCTGAGTTGGGATGAGTTTTAACATCGAACTGAAGCTGTCAACAAATTATTGCTGATGAAAATTATCAAGGCCCTCATACATACATCATCGAATTTGAACTAGGCCCTCAACGAACGCTATGCATATTATTGAATATGTGTTGACTATTTCTATGCTTTTTTGTTTTTCTTAAATTCTAAAATAGGTTATGTCGAAATTTTGAATTTTCTCTTATTACTAAATACAGGTTATTTAAATAGTCAGGTATATCAGGGTACCGTTACAATTGTTTTTATGTAAATGATATCAACTGATGTTCTGAGAATGTTAATAAATCGAATACTCAATAGTCACAATAATGTCATTTTCTTTCTTTTTTTCAACATATGTGACATTTCATATAACTAGGAATAAAAATAAAGGTTCACTGCATTCGATTCAGATGTAATAGACATACAATATAGTGAACATAGCATGTTGTTCGTTTTAGGTCATTTTACCATTGTTTCATATGGCAAGATTATATTTCAGTATCTCAACATTTTGGTACAGCCCACTGTTTTCTGTAAATTCAAGACGAAAAATACTCACAATTGTATTCACATTATTTGACAACTCTTCTGAAGAAAAAAAAACATTGATTGACAGTGAATTAAAGTCATGTGTGTACTAATACTAAAATGATTAATTATAGCCAGATTTCGACATGAAATATTGTCACTGCATTATGGGCTAAAATATTCATGCTCACACACGAGTAGCATTCCTACCTTAAATGATTGAATTGTAATTACCTTAGTAGTATTGATTTGTTTGTTTGTTTGTTGGATAACTCTAACAATTATAAATGCCTCCGTGTGAAACCTCTACCCGGCTCCGCACCCCCATCCCTTGATACAAGCTCGAACCCATTCGATTTTGGTACAAACACGGGTACGGTTGCCATGAACACAACAACTTCGGGAATGATTATTTATTTATAACTTTTGACAGACTCTTGATACGGAACAATCAATCAAGGAAGTTTTCAGCAGATGAAATCATTTTCAGAGTTACTTATTATGTTCAACCCCATTGCAAATTTATAGAACCGCTTTTGGCAGATTTGTTTTGTGTGTACAACAAAATACAAAGCTTGTTTAGATCACAAATGAAATATCCATGTTACATTATTATATTCAATGGTTTATTCTAACATCGGGTGTTCGTACTCTTCGGTTCTCGGTCTTAGTGATGTTTTAGACATATTGAAACATTGCCGACATAGTCATTAACAATCTGTAAAAAGTAAAGTATGTTTTAACACATCACTCATTTCAAGAATGTAGAAGTTTTCAGGAAGTAAAATTATTTTTATTTCAATTCATCCTCATTCAGAGGAACTGTTTTAAACCATACGAAAGCATATTTTATGAAATCTCATAATAACACTAATTAAAAATGTATGCAAAAGTAAATAAATCCTTTATTGAAGTTACAAGTTCTGTTGAAAAATCGAATTGGATAACTATTTCCCTTTTCATGGAGTGAAGATGGAGTGATGCAAGATAGTGCCTCCCAGGTGGTGTACATCTGATGGGGTCACCATCTTGAAGTGATCTCCCAGGACATACGGATTCAGTCAACTTAGGGGGGACACCATTGTAACTGCAGACTTTGCCAACAATTCTCTCACCTTCTGCACCAGTTCTCTCTGCATTTTGCGGTAAAGACATTTACACAGGCATTCTTGCTCTTTCATTTAATTTGCTCCCCCTAAAAATATGTCTACCAACTGCTCAATAACATTGGAGTAGCATCCTGTGCAGAGCTCTGCTTCCAAAATGTCCACCACTAAAACCATATCCCCGACAATGGTTACTGTTACCGCTACCCAAAGACTGGTCAGGTGATAGTGGGTGCCATGATCCTGTAATTTGGGGGACAGTGTTGTTCATATCTGTCTTTGGTTTTGAGGATGCTTCTGGCAATGTATTACTGTGTGTGCCTGGTATCCCTGGTTTTTACGCACATTATATCGTTGATTGCTGCCTCAGTTGACCCCCTCAAGAAGAAAAAAATCCATATAATTAACTTAAAAACTAAGCTACCCTACCGACAACCGCGCCGGGATTCAATGAGCTTACCAGCTGAAACCGCTGAAAAATGTTTTTGAAGGAAACACAATTCGAGTAGGAAAGCAAGGTGTTTTCCCGTTAACCAATTATTTAAGCATCGACATAGATTGGTGGTTACACAGTCGATGCTGGAAACGAACAAAATTGTCAGTAAAGGTAAATGGTTGTTGTAAGAGTAGAAATAGTTTTATGTAATGTGTACACTATGGTTAGATCAGAAAATGTCTCAAAAGAATGATGAATTGTCTGGGAATCATATCAACGATTCTACATTTCTCCCAATGTTTTTTTTTTCATAACGGTTTACAATCTTCATGATTTGTTCAAGTTTAATAAATCTTGTAAAAATTGTTCAAAGTGTCTCAATGTATTGGAGTTCAAAGGTCATTGTGAGTTCATAACGATGTCATATGCAGCCAACATTCCTTCGTACGTTTCTTGCGCTGTAGGTAGAATCTGATCTTCGGGTAAGAGGAAACCGTATTCACCGGTGTCTCTCAGCTCCGTTGCGTGTGAGTACTTGATGCCGGCTGATCCATATGCCCAGTCGACACTACTACCAGATGCAACGTCTAACACAAGAAGACACAAAGTAAGGAATGGTTAAATGTGTGTTGCATGGAAGCATGTATTTAACATTTTTTTTTCCCGCAGAACTACACATCGATGATTGTTAAATGCGTTACGGAACATGCATACTTACACAATAACTCAGTGATGGTTCCGTATTGGTAGGTCGTGTTGTGAACACTCGCCAATGCATCGACAAACGCTTTACCAATAATATTCTGAGATGAAGACAAAAGCAGAAAACATAATAAACAAACAGCAAAGTAAACACTTATTCATCGAAAAAAATCATCTGAGCCGTTTTTTATGTTAAATGCACACTTGTCCCCATATGTCAAATACAGTGTTGTGGATCACTTACATGATCGTCGTAGTCTTTGGGAAAATCGTAAGTATAACCCCATGGATTCATCCACATTTGAGCGGCACTATGAATATCCATGAAAAACTTAAATTCCTGAGTTTGACTTTTCTGCCTTATCCATTCAACCACCTGCCTCACTTCCACTTCGCTCAGCGGATACTCCCCGCGGTAACTATAAGAGCATGGGTTTGTGCTTGTTCCGCCACCTGAGAGTACATTAAAAGTGGTTGTTATCATGTACACCAGCGCTGTATCCCCCTGAATCCTTAATCCCTCAAGTGTCCCGTTTACTAGTCAGTCATAAAATCATATTTCATAATATTCATTCATTAGCTGTGCTCAAGTACTTTAGTCGGGATTCTCATGTGAGCGTTATAGAAATAATAAAAATTACCAAAACGGTTACAATGATTATCGAATTTGTACACAAAAATAACGGTTCTTACCTCCGAATTCATGAGGCCAGTTTCTGTTGGGGTCTACTCCATAACATTCTGGTCCAACGCCCATATTTACGGATCTAGTCTTACGCCAGAGTCGGTACTGTATGTAAAAAATGCAATAAACTGGGTTACATTTAGAAAGTTCTCAAGCTAGAAAGATCCAAATGTTCACAAAAACTAAGGATCGTATTACTTTAATTCTAAAACGAGTTATATTGAAATATTCATTAAACTCCACTTACCACGTCCCACGTATAATCATATCCATCCACGTTAAATACCGGTAATATATACAAATCAAACATATCCAATAATCTTGTTACCCGACTATCTTCCGTGTACGTGTGTAACATCTAGAAAATATTTCAGTGAGAGTATTTGATATGTTGACAAAATGAAATGTCAACAAACTAACCGATTTCTGATTGCTCTGACTGCTATGTGATATGGTTGGGTAGCCAATCAGGTATCAGGTTTCTCATTGATTCAAAATTCAAAGTCGAAATTACTTCTTATGTTTCGATAATACCATATCATACCATATCAGACCTATATAATAATCAAAACTTACTTTATTTGTCATCCATATATTAGTCGCTGGCGTAATCCATTCACGTGCATGTATACCACTGTTTATCCACATCGCTGGTTTGGTTACATTTGACTCTGCACCAATCTACAAGACGATGAATCGGGAAAAGTTCAGGTATGGGCGAGAATTAGAATTCACATCGCACCGTGTTTTTTTTTTTTACAAATTCAGAGAAATGCCACATGTCTTACCTTTAACGCCCGCATCACTCTCTTCTCATACGATCGTCCTATAATAAACTCCTTCGCTAAATCGGGATACCTTGCGGCAGTGTCTTTCACCCACTGGTCAATCTAAAAACAAGTAACCAATTACACATCTCACAGAAGGCATTTCTCGATACATTACACATGGCCACGAATCACTAACTAAAGAGCGGTGCGTTAGGCATAATTACGTCACTAAAGTCACTAACTTGTGATTAACGGATATTTGATTTGCTCAAACAAAAATATCTTTATTTTAGATAAATACAATGTATTTGTCAGAGTTATCCAGATCGTATATATGACAAGTCATATAGTCAATAGAATATTGTTACATTGAATAAAATTGTGTTGAATCTTACCTCGGCATACCTATGATACACTGTATAATACAGGTCATCCGGGTCAACTGATAATGATTTAATTTCGCCATTGCGTACGTTAAATTGATTATCAATTAATTTCTGCACGTCATCAATTCGTATATGGTATTCTATCTCATTATCGTCCAGCATATGTTGGATTTCATCGGCGTTATCAGGTGTTGTCATGACATCAAAGGGGAAGTTCCAAAAATCATACTAGAATGTCAAGAGAATATGTTACATTATCACAATGTCCTAAAATGACGTAATTTGTACTTGGTTTAAAGGGCGGTGGTCGCCGCGTCCTGTTCGATATGGGACTCGTATTGACGTACACAACTTGTCTAAAATATATCGTTCATTTCATGAACTATGAACATGCGCTGCGCGACGAGCACCACCCTTTAACACGCGTATGTAGGACTAAACTGCTTTGCTGGAATCTACTTTGTTCGTTATGTGCAAGTATCACACCTATAAATAAAAGTATGTTCATCTACATGTAAAACTAACACCCTAATATCGTTAAGAAGTAATTTCTGGCGTTGGAAACACTTTTTCATTTTGTTTTGAAATAAATATATATGAAGAAACGAGTGTTTTTTCACATCCAGTGAAAACTGGTAACTCTTACAAGTGTTATAGTAAGCTAATTGGACGGTGTTCTGAATTCTTATTAATACGCAGTGGTATTTCCAGTAATTTACACGTGGGTCACGCTAACCCGTACCACTGATATACGATAGACGTAAGTGTAAAGTACGTACTGAACGTAAAACTACGACTGAAAAAAAGTTTTACGTTCTTGTTCAGCAGCGATATTTGGATATACAATTTAAAAAAGATTATGCCAATTTTGGTTTATTTTATTTTAAATAAATATTCCAAATTTACATTAATAATTTCTATATTTTTTGTGTGTGTGTCAATCTATTTCCTGCATTTTTGTTGTTTCTGTATACTTGCGGTTATAACTTACAATGGATAGAGGTACAACATATAGAACTGTTTAGCAATTTTGAAAAAAAAAAATGTAACTAACCTTTCATAAATCATAAATATTTACAATCTATTTATGTTGACCAAATATATTTGTTTTCCTATGTATCGTAATTTGGCACGACGAACGATTGAAAGCACTGGCAAGGATAAGCAAGTACAGTAGTAACGACATCTCACTAAATCGTGTGTGCGACAAATTCCTATTGAATTGTATATACGTGTTTTATTTGAAGATGGAATTTAATTACAATTCTTACTTTTCCAGTTTCTTCTAGTCTTCTCATTACTTCGACCTCCTTTTGGGACTGAACTTTGACCCGTAGTACTTTATATCTATAGTATGTGTATGATAAATCAGATTTTATTGTAGAAGACACGGAATTTAGCAAACACTTGAGTTATATATTGTTTACACTATAAAACGTTACAGGTATAATAAATAGTATAGTTTCCACTCCCATGTTTGCGTCGTTGGCTCAAAAGTTACAGTAATAAATTTAAAATTACTGAAAGATTCAATTTGGAGATTGTATAAAATGTCAGTGTTTGGCCCCATTGTATATAATCGGTTACGTCAAATATTTTCGATGCGTCATTATAAATTACATCTCAATGACAACTTCGCGAACACATCAACTTATGTCAACATTCTCAAAGAGATCCATAAGGTTTATAGAGTTCAAAAATTACCCATCAAATTGATTCTTTGCTTCTCCGTAACAATTAACAACTAGTAGTAACTGAACAACGGCTATAATACGGACCACCATTGCGTACAGTTTTAGTGGTGAGACGCGTACCACAACCCGATTCAATGTCTCCAGTTAGCACCAAATAAACATCGTCGTAAACCAGCGCATGCGTACATTTCACCAGTAATCATGTGATTTTTGTTACCACTATATCATGTGTAATCTTGTTAGCTGCTGTTAATATTTATACTGCTACTGTGCGACATTTGTCTAATGGAAATCACAAGTATGAGGTTTGACCTGGGTGCGACTTGCACTAATTACCGCTGGTGACCCCTTCGATACCTTCCAATCACCTAAAAATACCTAATTAAAGCTTGGTAACGTCTCAGTTTCTACTCGTTGGTCTGCGCAACAGCCAAAATCGCCATCTTTGCGTGGCACGACAACTACCGCCCTTTAATTAACTCCATACTTGCTCTTTTCACTATGCGTAGAATAGTAATCACACAGATAATTTCATATACATATAGGTACCGCCCACGCACAGTTATGGCCATTTTTTTCATATGTAAATTAAGGAATAGTCATAAATTTCTGTTCTAAGAACTAGACTGTGCATTAAGGTTCGACCCATGACTTTGGTACTGGAAAACAGTATCACTGCTCTATGAGGGGGTTGAATATACATTCAAACATATTCACCATCACGTGATATATATGACTGCATAGAGGCACTGAGTAGAACCTGAGTGTTTTTGTGTAAATGAAAACCTTTCCACTGGCCATCAATGAGACAAAGAGTTTACTGCATTTGTTTCACGTTTTAGAAATAGTAAATCAGACTACTGAATAAATATGGAAGAAAAATACTTACATGCTACATACGAATGAACAGGCCAATCTGGTATCTATGTTGCTTATGTAAACTGAATTATCCATATATTCAATCACTAAAGTTATGTTATATCATGTTTGTAATATGATCATATACAAACTATTATTGAAAATTTAGTGTGTATGATATCTTATAAAGCTGAGATTACACGCAAAATTGTATTAAAAAGTTGTAATCACACTATACGCGTTTCATTTCAACTATTAAATTTGACCACCTCCATCGTTTGTACGAGCGACCTACGCCCAGCGTTTGTTAGCATGTACGAACGTTATCTGTTCACGACAGTAGTCTGTACCCGGAAATGACGAAACATTTTTTTTTTAAAGTTGTTTTCTGAAATTCACACATTCGCCTATCAGACGAGAAACACACCCTGCCCTCTGATTTCACATGGCAACATAAAGGTAAAGATACATTTTTGAAACTACGATACCTGTAAAGTTTATCAAGTTAAATTACACCGTTATACCACTAAAAAGGTAAAATCCTTGAAATATTCATCTCAAATTACGTTACGTGCGTGTACAACGCTGATCATTTCTAAAACATGCATTTATATATGAAAAAGGCGCCTACCTACCTAATTAGAAATTTAGTTGTGGCACGAGTAATATGTCGAGATAAAAAAAGACCGCTTTCATTTTAGTTTATGTGCGTAGATAACTTGGCCGTGAATGTAATCTTACTGCTACTTTCAACATTTGGGAAAGGTGGGATATTTGTTTATGCCCTCGTGTGGCGTAAATTTAAATTTCTTTTGTTTTTATCATCACACGGTCTACCTGAGAAATGCATAACTATTTACGTTAGGGGCGCTAATACACAATAGCTTTGCGTTTCAGATGTGTAAATAAAATCGTTAGGCTGTCACGGTTGGTGTCAGGCTGATTGCAAGCCACACATAGTAGCGTTTCGTCCACTTGACATTACCCTAGGTCAAATACTAGTTAGCCACCTATTTTTTTTTCATAATTGTCAGCAAACGCTGGGCGTAGGTAACACGTACAAACGAGGGAGGTGGTCAAATTTAATAGTTGAAATTAAACTCGTATAGTGTCACGGTGATTTCAACTTTTTAATACAATTTTGCGTGTCAATACAACAAAGAAATGTCACAAAACATATAATTAACACGTGGTTGCCTTGCCAACAAAAAGACACGCAAACCACCAATAAAATGCAGTCTTACAATAACTGACTTATCTTTCTCTAAAACGACAATTTGTGTAAAATGGCGTGAATATTAGAATGTCAAGGAATAGGCAAACTTTATTAGATGCATGAGAGGAGTGTGCACACAAAATGATCGGCCACTGTACAACTTTGTAAAGGCATACGCGGTCAGACAGGTCTATCTTAAAATAGTCCCAAAGAGTCAGGGAAAGGTGAATAAACATTCTACCCAATAATCAATTTTATTTCAGCCAAAACTTTTTTGCTAGTTATGCTCCAGAGTTCTCAGGGCAATATGTTGTGAACAACACCATGGCCTTAAAACTTGACTCAGAAACCAGAATGCTATATTGCCAACTGATCTAGGAAGGTGTGCAGGGTAGGCAGAAAATGCAAAAATGTGAACAGAAGTCACAGAAGTTAGTTGGAAGAAAAGTGTAAAGGATGTCTGGGGATGAAGGAAATGAAAAACGTCTGCCGACCTGGAAAACTTAAATGATTTGAAGAATGCTGGAAAATTGTATGGAAAGGTACAACAAAAGTTGTTTTGGAAAGCAAAATATTTTTTTGGAGAGTATCGACTGAGAATGACAAATCTGTCATGTTTCCACAAGGATGCCACCAATGGTAAATACAGAAATGTTTACTGTAGAGGCAAAGAGTTATTTGAAGTGTAAAAAAGTCAGAAAAATTGAAGAAGCAACAAGCTGACATATATGTAAAATGCGGTTGAGTATCTTGTCTTGTTTGTATGTTAAGGCCAGACTTTTATTATCCCTTGTTTCGCGAACCCGCCGAATGAGCAGGAGCCGAAAATGAAATAAAAATAAAATTTTATTTCAGCGTAATTTCTCGCGCCCGCCAACTTGTAAGCGCAAAAAATTGCTAAAAAAATATTTTTATCTTCATTTTTTTATTGCCCGCTGCATACCAAATCCAAGTTGCACTTTCGTGGAAGTATCATGATCAAAGTACCGAAGGCTCGCGCAGATGAGACACAAGATTATACATGGAATAACATAACATTTTATTTTATTTTATTTTATTTCATTTCATTTCATTTCTTCTCTCCGATCAATAATCTCACTTATCACACAAATTTAATGGGGGAAAAAAATAATTTTATTTTTTTCCCGCCCTCCTCAAAAAAATTGCCTTATAAAAACTCGAGAAACAAGGAATAAAAAAAGTCTGGCCTAAAGGTGTAAAAATGATCTACTCAGCTTTTTATTTAGAGTAATATTAAAGTTGAGAATAAGAAATGTCTGAAATGTTAATAAAATTGTTTGAAAGCCAAAAACTTCTTTTTCAAGACAGGAAAAATAGAAATCTGAAAAGTTGTGGTTGACAAAAGCATAAATGTATTCTTAGAAGGCTGTAAAGTTATAGAGAAGTTTCCAGTAAATGTGTAAAAGTCATTATTACTGAAGAGAAAACAGGCTGTCACAATATTTGCACTCCATGCCAAGATTAAAAAAAAATTCTTTAGTATATTAACATACATGTACAATGTTAAAATCTAATCAAAGTTTAATCCCAATAAATGAGTCATATATAAATTTAACAGTCAATGCAAAAATCAACAATTCCTTTTGAAAATATAGTAATACTTTTATGTACTTTTACATTTCTTCTTTTTTCCACTATCATTATTACAATCCTTTGTTTCAGCAGGTCTTTTCAATTGCGTTTCTCTTGTCACATGCTTCAAACACCAATCATAAATCTCATCGCACACATCAACCATGACGCCATTATCAGTCTGACCTTTGATATTGATGCTGTGATCAGCACCCTCTATCCATTTCATTTTCTTGACGCATGTAATAGATTTAAGGGTATCTTCCATGATTGTTTTTGTACAGAATGCATCTTTTGTGCCAGTAATAAACAGAGTCGGTGTGGTCAAAGACTGAAGTATTTCATTTCTGAGACTGGTGAGTTTACGAGGGGGATGAAGTGGGTAGGAAAGACAAATGACGCCCTTGATGAAATCATTTTTCATGGCATTTGCCACACACACAGCAGCTCGCGATCCCATTGACCTACCTGAAATAGACAATTGTTGATATTGTCACAGTTCTTTATAATCATTTTTATTCAGGCATATCTAAATGTAGTACATTTATTTCAACTTTTTCAGACAAATCAAAAACAGCATATATTGTATTGTTTCACTGTGAAGATTTCAAACAAATATTGGTGTCCATTTTGACTGTTTTGCACAAGCTAACATTAATATTCAATTGTATACAAATTCTGAGAGTAGATGCCGTGTGTAAATAAATACCAAAAATAACGAGGGCATTCATTGGTATGACAATTGAAAAAAAAATTATTAACTATCCCTGGTATATACTCAGAATCAAATAATTATTCATCATCAAAATCTTTTGAAAATTTCTAAATAGCAATCACAACTCAGAGGAGATTTCAACCTGCACTAGATTTCCGCAATGCTCATATAGTTTAGACCTATACACTGTTACTTTGGGATCACAAACGGGACATGTATGCCAAGTTTTAAAGACAATGGCAATCTTTCTCTGGTAGATATATTGTGAAAATACATACACACATATACTGTGAACTTTGAGCTCTTGACTCTTAAAATGTCATGTCGTGTGGGTTACATAGGAATCATGTGTGCCAAGTTTGAAGTTCCCAGCTATTACCCTTGTAGCTCAATACTATACATACATAAAGGTCATACCGAGAACATGACTTTTTTACCTCACCAGAGTGAGTCAGGTGTATACTACTGGTGAATAATCATCACATGATACATCACAAACAAATGAAAAATACATCACACCAGTCACACTGATATATCATGTCATATACATCACACCAGACACACTTATATATCATGTCATATACATCACACCAGACACACTTAAATATAATGTCATATACATCACACCAGACACACTTGTATATAATGTCATATACATCACACCACACACTTATATATCATGTCATATACATCACACCAGACACACTGATATATCATGTCATATACATCACAGCAGACACACTGATATATCATGTCATATACATCACACCAGACACACTGATATATCATGTCATATACTT